CTATAAAAAAATATACAATTATTAATAATTTTATATTAATTAAAATATAATATAAATAAATAAAAAATAAAGTCAGTAACATATGTTAATTAAAATTTATTTAAAATAATAATGAGACAAAGGATAATAATAACACTAAGACCAAAAAAACATTCAAAACCAAAAAAACAATGATAATTGAAGTAGTCTTAAGACTGCCAATAGTACTAGATAGGGGTGTCATTAGCCTCAATTTGGACTTTTCTTATGTTCATTGATTTCAACAAAATTTATGACCAATTTTTAGTTGATTATAATATTAAATTTCAACAAAATTTCTGACCAATTTTTAGTTGATTATAATATTAAAATTAAATAAGATCGAGGACTTTATGCTCTTGAGATGTCAACTATGACCCAAGCCAAAAAAATTAATTTTGGGGGTATGAATATTTAAGTTAGTTTACACACATATTGATTAATTTTATAGAACCCTGGAAACAGTAAAAAAAATTGTCAATAGTTTTTAAGAGACACAAACTGATAACCTATGAAGAGTCAGTCAAAACGGTAGTTCAAACTCTTGATTCTATGTTTTTGAACGTATAATTCATATGGAAACAAACACTTGCTTTGTGTTCTAATGGTGTCTAACTGCTTCACAGATGATGTTTTGATCGGTCCTCAAATTATATCCTGGTATTATCTGGATAATATCTCTCTCGTAACAGATCTTGAAGCTTCAGTGATTGAGGACACATCACAAACATTTTATTCACATAATAAAAAATAAAATAAAAGTTAAATAAGAAGTATAATATCAATAAAATAGCAAGATATCGTAGATAATTAAAACGTTGCAATTGTGTGCATAAAAAGAATATTATTTCCTTGGCATACAAACTCAATTATAACAATGTATCAAATATAACAAAATTCTATTCATACGAGTTATGATCAATGTGTTAGGTGGCGTTTGTTTTTTAAGAGGTGCTGAAGTCTGAAGTCTGAAGTCTGAATTCACTTCTGAATTTTAAGAGGTGGTGCTGAAGTCTGAAATCTGAATCAGTCAGACTGTTTGTTTTTACGTCTGAAATCTGAAATCTGAAATCTGAATCAATAAGACTGTTTGTTTTTGTAAACTGACAAACTTCTGAARTCTGAAATCYGAATCAWTTCATTTCAATTAAATTTAACTGAAATATCCAATCATTTAAACCATTTGTAAACTATCATATACTTTTAACACATTCAAAATTTCAATTGAAATACGTCAATTAGTTCAAAACACAATAGAAAACACGAATAAAATCTCATAACAACTAGAATCAATATTCATTTTGTAATTGTGTCGCAATTTCTTCTTTTAAACTAGAATCAATATTCATTTTGTTTTCCGTCTGCAGCACGACCAATCAGCAGCTGCTTTGCTGCTTTTCTTCCGTCTGCTGCACGAGTAAACAGCAGCTACTCGTTGCCTGATCTCCCGCTGCTGCACGAGCAAAACAGCAGCTACTCGCTGCTTGATCTTCCGCTGCTGCACAAGCCAAAACAGCAACTCGTTTCCGTCTGATGTGCGACCAAACGGCAGCTGCCAAACAACAACCGTTCCCGTCCGATGCGCGACCAAACAACAGCTGTTTGCTGCTTCTACCGACTGCTTCTTCGTGAGCCAAACAATCCCTCTGGGCGCGGCCAAACAGCATAAACAGCAGCTTCTCCGTCAACTACGACCAAACAGCAGTTGTTGTTGTTGGGTTTGAAATCAAATAACATACAATAACTACAACAGCTAAAACCCCATCAAATTCTTGCCCACATTGCCAAAACCCCTTATTATGATTTCCAACACGCAAAACTACTCAACAAAAACACATAAGGAAACATGATCAAGAAAATTTGCCAATTGCATCTTCTAATGAATAAGATAAGCCAATTGGCAAGAAAATTTGCTAATTGCATCTTTATCCAATTGTTCCAAGTATTTATGCACAACCTTACATTCTAAACCATCAACATGTGTCC